TCAAAGGCAGAACTAAAAGGCATAAGTAGCCTTGGCAGTTGAATTATTACCATCCTAACTGTGCTGATGAAGCACCGTTCTGAGCCCTTCATGCATTCTGCATAAGCAAAGCACTGTGGAGACCTGCCCAAATACCACACCATCTCCACCAGCGCTCATGTGGAAGCAAAGGACAGAAATCCTGCTGCCAGCGGGCAGAGGGAGTGATCAGGCTCACCTCTGCCTTGCTATGCCCGTGCAGTGCCACAGTGTCAGCTCTCTGTGTCACTGCTACGACCTACCATGTTGACGGCATCCTGGTCAAAGGGGTTCCACTCGATGTTCTGAGGATAATGGGCCAAAACTTTGGACTTGAAGGTTCTTCTTAAGGGACTCTGGTCAAAATTCTCTCCTGCAACAAACGAAGAAATAATGACTTGTCACAGCAGTGAGGCTTCAGTGAGTGCTGGCCTGGGCAGATTGCTTTCACTTTGTTGGTTTTTGGTGTTTTTTTTTGTTTTTTTTTTTTTTTTAAATCTGAAAGGCATTTTCACTCCCAACAGATGTACTACTTTTAAAAGAGACACAGAAAAGATGCACATTCAGTCTGATCTTACCCTCCTTCCCACAAAATCTTACTACAGTTGCAACACAGCTTCTGGCTTAGTATTTACAGCATGCAAATGTATTGTTAAGAGAAAAATTACTGCTGGAGTTTTATAGAAAAAGACCCTGTATTCAATTGAATTTTCCACCTTCCCCTAGAGCTTGAATATCTAGACTTGGCTTTACTTAGACACTGAAAGAATGCTTTCCCTCAAGTTTGTTAGAAACTTAGGGTCAATAAAAGGTATGAGCACCTCTCAGCTATTATAAACTACTCAAGGATTTTACAGATCTTTCTTATATCACAAGTGTCCTGTGTGAAGATTATACATTTATTTTTTTTACATCAAAATGCAAGGACAGACTTTTTCCACACAAAGAATCCAGCAACTTCAAAGAGGAAGATTGAAATTAGACTTCAAGCAGAAATGCATCCAGTTATCAGCATACAAGAAGTGTATTTCACAGTGATATTGTTAGTGGAGTTTCCACCATTGCATATTCTACAGTGTGCAACACAGTAACCAAAATAAGAAGTTCTGAAAATCTATTAATTATATTACCCTCTACTACACCTTTCTCAGGTATCAGGTTACTAATTTCAGGCTTCTTGCTTTAAAGACTACAGGTGGGTCTTTCCTGTTCACTCCCTTTCTCACCTGAGAGAGATGAATGGGATGATAGCCTTAAGTTCACCATGTGAAATGTTTTTCAAACCTTACTTTGCACTCAAAGGCTGCCTTTGGGACTTCCTAGTGTTACCTAGATACTTTAAAAAACATTTGAAATAGAATTGGATTTCTTTTCTTAAAAAAAAAAATAAAATTTCTCTTTATATTCAAAGATAGACCAAATATTTCATTAATGATTTTTAATGAGAGGTTATTTTGGATGAAAAAAAATACTCAATCGCTTGGCAAGGTCTAAAGGCAACCCATCGTTCCTGCAGAAAAGTTAAAACTACTAGTCACTAACCTCACTAACCCTTCTGTGAAGGCAACGTGGACTGCGGGAGTACAATTTGTGCTTGCTGAGTTACTTATGACAACTCAACCTTCGAGCAGCTAGCAGCCTCCGAGTGACGTTGCGGAATTCACAGTTCAGCAGTTACCCAAAGCTTTCTGAGGCCACCGCCATTTGGCACGTGTCCTTTGCTCCTTGCGAAGCACAGTCTACACAATCATTTACCTTGGAGTGAAATAATCCAAGGAAACTTCTCTACAAACTGATACACGAAAGCAGAGCTTCTCAGTCTTTGCCCGACAGAGCCTAGGATCTGCTGATAATTGTGGGAAACACAAGGTAAGGGAGAAAACCACAGTGGCAGATCACAATGTAAAAATCATCCAGGCAAAGTTTTATGAGGGTTGAAAACCATTTGTTGTACGAAACCCTTAACAAATCTTCAACGTAGAGGGCAGAACCTGCACTTTCTCTCAGGGGCTGCAGTGCCAGGGCCATTGCAGCGGCCCCTGCACCACAGAGGCAGGTGGAGGAAGAGGAGGCAAAGGTCAGGCATTTCTTACACCAACGCCAGCCGCCCGCTTGGTGGGGAAGGGGAAGCAGAGGCTCACGCCTGAGATCCCCTTCACGGGGATGTGTGTAGGCAGGTGGAAATTCCTCAAGACGTGCGAGTCAGCTGTGCTGGGACTGCACCTTGCCCCAGTCTAAGAGCTGCTGCAATGAGTGGGCTCAGGAGCCAGGCGGAGGAAAGCTAACCAGCTCTTCCAACAGCACTTGCTTCCAAATGCATTCAGAGAAAGGGTTTAAAAATCTTTTCCTTCCCAAAACGTCCCTGGCATTTTAAAGATATGGGTATTTTTGTACAATGGCTCATTTTTAACACAGGATTTAGACACATTGCAGTAGCATTTTTTTTTCCTAGCACTATGTCTGTCTGACTTGATTTTGGTGGGTAACCGCAGGGGAGGACAGCAAATAATCTCCTAGAAGGGTATTTTGTGTTTGAGAGGAGGAAAAAGTCCGAGATGATGCAACGCTGCACCCATATTTCCCGGGGCAGAAATAAATGGAGATGGTAAGATGTGAGGAGCTCTGGCAGGGGAATTCAGCCTGCTTCTGGAATTGCTCAAGGCAAACCAGAAATTCAGCAAAAGCATGTGCATCATAGAAATAAAGAAAACTGAAGGTATCAGCTAAAATGGATCAAATTAAAAGATGTGTTGGGGTCCGATTAGCTCATCACGTCTGCCAAGTTGGACCAGACTTGCCACTAGCTGCTATGGCAGCCCACAGCACAAGCTCTGTGAAAATCCTCTCCGTGCTCAGTTACAAAGCTCAGAATGAAGTGCACAAAACCAGAGATCATTACTCTATTACAGGACACAGCAGTAGAATAACCTCGTATTTTTGGTCCAGAAGTTCTCTGCAGTGGCATTAGAGACAAAGATATAATGTCATCCACTGATTCTTAAAGTTTCACAAAATAAAAATCCCAACCAGCAAAGCCAGTGAAACTTTGCTGCCCAGGTATGCACTTAAACACACTTGGCAACATTTTTAATTCTTAGTATCAAATAGTAATTAATGTACTCGCATAATCAAATAAATATGCATGAGGTTATTTCCTAATTAGATCTTCAATCTTTCTCACATCTGACACAGTTTACCTTATAACTGTGAATTAGCAGAAAGGCAGATATTCGATGCTAAATTTGCTTCTACTAAAAGTTCAAAGAGCATCTGAATGACTTCATTAACTTCTCCACTGCTTACGGCAAGTGATTGCTGGAGTCCAAATTTCTTTAAAAGTTTCCTTTTTCATGACAAAAAAAATAATGTTCCTGAAACCTGATGGTTGCTAACTGGGTAATTTGTGCAGATCAGAGGCACTCATCACCTCTGCAGTTCATTGGTTGAGCCCTTCACAGGTTCTTTGGGGGCCAGTTTTCCACTCTACATTGTACAGGTATTGTAAAAACACCTTTTACTTGAGAAATAGCCCCCAGTGATGACAGTCAACAACTAAATTGATTAATCATCTGGTACTAGCACATAACTGTAAATGGGACTCCAGTAGCAATGCACATTCATCATGTCATTTACTGATTCTAATACCTATGCTCACTTAGAGGCACCAAAGGAACTGAGGCAGGCTTTGCCCTGTGCACCGGGTGTGCTCGGGAGAGCCCTGCTGCCAGCACACCTGAGATACGTGGCATCTCAGGGGACGTGGCTCTGTGTGCTTACACTGAGCGGGACAGCAAACCACCCAGCTTTCACCTAAATAACTTCCACACACACCCAGAGGCGGAGGGTTACATACCCAGCAGGTTTACCTATCTGTTCTGGTAGCACAGCCTAAGCCTGTGGTGGAGCGGAGAAGGCAGCTGCTGCATGGTGCTAGGTGCTGTCTGGCCTTTAACCTGTCCTCTGGTGTTAAAGCAGCATTGGCAGACTCTGGAAGCACATCAGACTGCTCAGAGAGATTTGGGAAGCGGTCCTGGAAGGCTTCTCCATGGGAAAATCTCCTCTCCTAGTTTGGTGGCTCAATTACTTTCTAACCCCACCAGATAAAGTTGTACTTACTTCCAAGTTAGACCAAAAACTACATCACTGGGGATACAAGAGTGGGGAAGGCCTTGAATTTTTGCTGTTCTTGTTATCGAATATCATTTGTATCTTTTTCCCTATAAACCACTCCCCCATCTTGATGGGCAATACTCTGGCAGCATCTGGAACCAGTGGAGAACAACAAGGCGTATTTGCCAATAAACCACTGTAATCAACACAAACTGAAAGTTTCAATCAGCTTTTGGAAATGACCAATGATTTGTATGCTGCTGCAAATACTCATGCAGTTGTTTAGACAACAGATACGTCTAAAAAGTTTTGTTTATGAAGTACAAGCATTGCTTTAAGAAATCCAGCTTCTCAAAACCAGCAGTAACAATGTCCTAGTAGGCTGACAACATGGATTCATTTTATCCAGAAAAGTCAATGGCACAAATAACTTACCTTTGCAGAGTCTCTGCAGGGTTTGCATTTTACTACTACGGTGGTTTTAAAAATATATAAATTAAAGGCAAAATGCACACACAAGAAATACAGTTTGCTCAATCATGAGACAAAAGAGAAGAGCCAGGAAACCACACTGGAGTGAATCAATTGGTCATTAGCTCAAAAGGACATCACATCACACCCTCCATACAAAGCTGCCTCCTGGAAGCCAGGCAGGGTAAGATTTTAGAGGAGATGATACATAATTTAGGAAAGAAACAGTACAAGGATACGACAGAAAGCAGCCCATGTGTCAGGGTGAAATGTCATCGTTTGGCCAAACTAGCAGCAAACATCCCCAGCTCTCACCAAAATAAAATGAGACATGGACCATGCAAGCCAGCTCCACACTGACAAGCAGCTGGAAGAGAACCACCGGGAACAAAACCTTCTTGGCAAACATGAAGGAAGGGATCTGGACCGAGGGGTACCCAATATTATCAGTTCTCAGCCTTGGCAGTTCTGAACTGCTGAGTCACACGTGGCAAATAAAATTTATTTAGCTGTTATTCTAAGCAAAGAGTGAATTTTCATTAAATCTGCTATGTGCTTTTAAGTGCTTGCTTGCTAACTTCCCAAACAGGATTAGCAAGGCACATTAAAAATGAAGCAAGTATCAAATGCAAATTGAATCCATATTCTAAAATATTAATGGCCAGATAACAGTACTATGAATACGGACAGAAACATCGTATTTGATGTGTGGTACCCATTCATGCAAACAGCACATCTCATAGGTTAAGCTGCCTCTCAGAGGCAAATTAAAAATTTAGTTTTGAATTGATT